CATTTCTGGCGCTTATTCTGAAAAGAGGTTTTTTTTTTAAACTGCCGTGGCTGTGTGAGTTGTATAGTTCAGACAAACACATTGTCGGCCAGAGTATAAAAGTAATAGTTTCTGATGTATGTATGTATGTTGGAACGAATCGCTGTCATCCCTAGCGAAATTTAGTTTGAAACCAAATCAGCCTACCTTGTCGGCAGAACCAACAACCAAAAAGGAACTTAAATTTTATGTGCATAATTCACGTCTGTATGTTTTGAACTGAAAGTGAGTTACAGAATTTCAGCCTAGACAGAGGATGATCTTAGTTAACTGCCAGACTGTCAAGTAGACGAATAAAAGTAAATAAAATGCAGAGCACAGTGCGTAAGATATGTGAAGAGATGTGGAGACAAAGAATAAAAATGTCATTCCATGGCTTCTCTCTTCAAACGATTATCCTTAATAGCGTGCCCATTTAGAAACTAAGCCGCTGGCGAGGGAAACAATAAAAAGTGCACGTTTCTTTTTTAAAATACATACCCAGTGCTAATGGCACCTCAGTTGACTGGGCAGTATACTCACATGCATATGCATATATAAATACACACATAATACAAATATACTTAGTTATGAAACCCAAACAATATGAGTATATGTTCTATGGTAAAATAAGAGCACTTACGGCTGCGCGCAAACATAAATACACATAGGTGCTAGTATGAATAAGTAAAAAAACCTACTTAGATACAAACTTACATACATGTTTATGACATCGTTGCTGCTTCCGCAGACAATTCAGATACACGTGCGTCTGACAGCATTTAAAATTGAACGGAGAAAGAGCGGAAATACAGAGAGGGTACAATATAAAATGCAGGTGTTAGATAAGAGTTTAAGGGCCGTTTTCATAGTTAAAAATTAATTCAGAGTCGGCAGTAAACTTTCAATTATCGTGTTGAAAATCTACATTAATTTTTTAAATAAAAAATAATAATTCGCAACATGTATGTAGACATATAACGTTGCAATGGCCTGGCCAATTTAACTCATTTTGGTTTTGTTGACTTTGTCGTTATAAAGAGAAGGTGGCGCTGGAGACGAGTTATTACTAAAATTCGTATTTATGATTGCATTTGGTTCACATTTGAAATATGTATTTTTTATAACTTCAAGAGAAATTAATTTGTGTAAAAATCTGCCGCCAGGTGCTGCTGGAGTCGATCCATTACTAAAGTACATGTTTATAGTCCGATTTGGTTCATATTCAAAATATATTTTGCCAATGAGAAAAGAAATGCGTTTGCCAAAGAATGCCTCGCTAGGTTACGCTTGAGTCAAGTTATTTCTTTAAAGCGTGTTTATGGTTCGATCTAACTTATACATATTCGAAACATACAAATAACGGCATTGGAAGGAGAAATAATTTTACACAAGTTTTATCAGGTAGATGACGCTGGAGTTGAGTTATTTCTAATAGCTGTTTATCGACGGCTGAGTGGCCGAGCGACCTTACACGGCAGCCGATTCGGAACGTCCTTTCTCAGAAAATTTTTCAAGAATGCCCTATCTCAGAATTTGTTTAAAGAACGCCCTATCTCAGAATTTGTTGCAAAAACGCCCTATCTCCAAATATTTTCAACATATTTTTAGTTTATATAGGGTGTTTTTGAAGCGGTATCTGCGATAGGGCGTTCCTCAATCAAACTCCGAGATAGAGCTTTTTTTGATCAAATTCTGAGATAGGGTGTTCTTCAACCAAATTCTTGAGTAGAGAGTTCTTGAGACATTTTCTGAGCTTCCGAGATGGATCGATCTGCTCAGCCGTCGATATATGATTCGATTCAGCTCATAATCATAAAGGGAACAACCGAGTCTTTATTTTCTCTACGCTTAAAGCTTTATACACACATTTATGCAATAAAAAGTCCTTTACAGAATATTGAACAAGATATACTCCAGTATTATAGGATTTATTTCATATATGTATGTAGGTGCCCTAGGCACCTGGGTATTAAAAGGAATTACAAAAGTGACGAACTAGCAAGTGAAGGTACGACCAACCACATCCTCCCCAGAAAGGGTACGGTAGATATACTAGTATCAATAGCCGGCTTGAAAAGTTTTTTCAATTGATCACACAGTTAAATTAGCTAACACCTGAACCAGGCCTTGCAGAGAGCTCTCAGTATTCGAAATAAGATCATCAGCGCAAAAAACATTGTTTGCTTTCTAGGCATCGTGAAGCAGGCCGTGCATTTGCTGGTATAAAATAATGTTTAAATTAAAAACAAATTTAATAAGAGATACAAAATTTATGAAAAAAATACATTTAATTTAAGACATTCCAGTTCAGAGTTAAAAAAAAAAAATTAAAAATAAATGTCCTTCACTTGCATATCCCAACAAAAGTTAATACATATGTATATGTACAAATTTAGTATTTCCTGTTTTCCCCAAATAAACTTCCCTATATTTCATTTGCGAACAACCCATTACCTACGGGAGTTCGTGGCACAAGGTCACTATCGAGTTGGCGTCAATTTGCCTTCATGAACTTGACCTACCACCGGTGCCAAAAGCACAGCCTGACTATTTACCAACAAGCACAACTAACTAACAACTAACAATTTATCTCTTTTTTACGCTTCGCGCCTCATTGAACAGCACAAACATTTTATGCGTACACTTTGTTGCTGTGCAACTAATTTGTATGCTTGGCCAGTCATAAAGTTAATTAATGTACATACAACATTTTTAGTGCCAATGACCGTTAAATTGTAACTTTGTAACTACATTTTGTGGAATAATTTTTCGACATTTGTCTTAAAGTATTGCTATGTAAAAAGTTTGCCGTTGTAAATGTTTTTCAACGGTCTTCTGACCTTGGTTTGTTGGCGCTTGCTTAGCATGGCCTGTGTGAGGATGTTAAAAGTTAAAGTTTTTGGCTATACATCTGCGAAAATTTATATTAATTAGCCAAATGGCACATAGCGGCTGGCTTATTATGAGGCGAGTCAGATAAATTGGTGCACTTAGTCTTGGTTGGTTGTGTGTGTATTTAATAAATTTTATTAATGTCCATTATCTCTCGTAAGCTCGATACCGTAACTATTTCAAGCAACTATAGGCATTCAGGGATTGCGTGATAACAACAACAGCCACATTTTACGAATTTGAGCATAAAATGGTTTCAGTTGAGTTGCTCTAGAGCCGACTTGGTCAAGAGGAGTTAGATCAGCGTCGTACCTATGCATCGGTTTGGGTTCTTCTTTATCAAACGCGACACCCCTGTATCTACTCATATTCCCCGAATACCTCAATTGTACGCTGGGCGTCTGCTAGCAGATATTCACATGCCTTTCTACCACACTTGACTTCCACTTTGAAATACTTTGTTACTCTCGCCTCCTCTCGGAGTATAAGTATCGCTCAATTTTCGCTCTTTTAACTGCGCCACGACACTATTCGACAAACCAGTTGTTCCGGCTGTGTGGTAATAACCAACCACCTTTTCTGCAGAGAGAAATGCAAGCTTTCTAGTAATTTAAATCCAGCCAATGAAGAATGCCTTGTTTAAGCAGAATTTTGAGTCAAGATCGAAATTTCTCGGCTATCAGCTTCACGCATGCTTATCTTAGCTTCGTTTATTGATCCTACTCGACGTTCGCTCTTCGGATGAAAGTCACGTCAAGGCCACTCGGAGGGTATCTTCTGGTACTTTGATCAGGGTACATCCTGGATTTCGGTAGACTTGTTTTGATAAGGATAGTCAGCAATTAGACAGAGGCACCTTCCCTTGCTTTCGTGAAGTAATGCCAGACGGCGCTTCCGCAGTGTTTTGAAGCATGAATAGTAGGGTGGTCTTTGAAATATCAAAATCATCAAAATCAAAATATCAACACAAATTAGGGGTGCTTCCAGGGTTTAAATTTTTTTTGTACGGCGAAAATTTCACAAATCTTAAAATTTATCAAAATTCTGTCGAATTTTTGAGATTTTTAAAAAAGTTTTAATTTTTTTCCAACCCTTGTAGCGACACCTAAAATTTGTTTAAAATTTAGAAATTTTCGTGGGAAGGTTTATGAAAACCGAAACGCATTTCATCCAAGACGGATGCACGCTAGCCACAGCACCAATTGAGCGCAAACGTTGCTGACTTCAGTAAACCCTTAAACTGAGCAAGTCGGAGTGGCCCTTATCTTTCTGCCGTGATCCACGGCTGCCGACGTTATCCAGAGTCCGCGAACTGACATGCCAGAGGTCGGGCTTCAGTATTGTCGTTCAACTGTAACTGCACACCCATAAGAGCACTCCACTGTGTATGTATGTACATACATACATAAGTATTTATCGCTGTCTATTCTTGTTTTCTTACGATAAGAATTTTTTTATTTTTTTTGTAAAAATTATGAAGAAATGATTCGACATCTTCGATTCGTATGAAAACAAGTGTGTAGCACATTTTATAAAATTTTTTTTATATTTCTCATTTTCTCAATGAGAACTTTTGACTGCACTTCTAATGCAAATATAGCTCTGAGGACATTTTGGATACAAAATAGTTTGTTACTGATACCAGATACTGAGAAGTTTGGACTGTTTTTTGTTTTCTTTTTATTATTTGAGTTAAATTATTTTCTAATAAGTACATACATATTCATTCTTTAAAGAAAACAACACTGCTGAATTAAAAAAAAGTTACATAAAAATTCACACTTTTTATTCAAAATTTTTTGGGTATGCAATTTAAAGCCGATTAATTCTAGAAGAATGAAGTGCAAGTTTGGGGTGGCTACAAAATACTCTTGATTTTTTCACATTTTTTGTTATTAATAGCTAAGATTTGCCATTATGTGAGTATTATATAGTTACGATAACCACTATATATAACTCTAAATATACATACTTGTACTAGAAAAACTGTGTTCTAAATATTCTAGTTATCCCAAAGAAAATAAAAATTCAATTTTAAATGAAAGCATAATTTCACTAACAATTTCTTTTCTTTCACAAACTTTCAGGGGCTTTGGCAAACAAGGATTTCAATGTCAAGGTAAGTTCAAAACATTTATTACAAAATTTTCTAACTCAACGACTGACGCAAGCGAAAACGAACGCAAAAAACAAACGCATACAGCTACACAGACACAGACACAACGAAGTGCATAGTTGTTACTGGCATGAAAAGCTATCACTTAAACTTTTACCCAACTATCATTGAAAATCTAATGCAATACCGTATGTACATTAGGGATGTTAAGTTTTTCGCTTTTTACGATCCCGAGATTTTCGAGATCCTTCTATATTGTTTGAGAAGTTCTTCTACCATAAAATAAATAATAAATGAATGTGTTCGAAACCTACTTTTTAATTTAAAGTGGCGTTTTTATTTTTTCTCTCTGACGTCAGGATTTATTTTAAAGGACTTTGTAATTTCAATGATATTATTAATTCCAAAAATGATTTAAAAATTTCAATGTAATGTATTTAGAATAAAAATATGGGTACCAAATGCAAGAGGAACCTTCTTTAGAATTAAAGAAAATTAAAATTTTTTTAATTCACAAGGACGAATAAGTAATTTTTAAGCTGATAAAGTTAGAAGGACGAAATTGATGGATGTTATCGAGTTTATATACGTCCTTAACATCTAATTTTTTTTAAATAAATATTGCGAAATTTCCAGGATGAAAGACAGTTATTGAAAACTTTTATTTATAAAAGTCATCATTCGTATAAAAGTTAGCAACAAATTTTGCAGTTAAGAATGCGTAGGGAAACAAAAGTTTACTACGACTTACACAAACGACTTTTATAAAAATGATTTTAAAAATAAAGGTCAGTGACTGATTATTATTTATGACCTTTATAAATAACAGTCTTCGATAACTGTTATCTGAGACATATAACTTAAAAATTAAAAATAACTGTTATTTGCAATTATTTAGATAAATATCAAAAATAATTGTTATTTTGGGCTCAATAATATAAAAGTCAGAAATAACTGTTATTTAAGGAGTAATTAAATAAAAGTCAAAAAATAATTGTTAAAGAGCGATTTTTTTAATAAAAGTTGTAACTGTTACGGTTCCTGGGCGTTTTTATTATTGCCGTCAGTGCAAATTATAAATCCCGCAATTATTTGTCAAGAATCCCGGGAATTTCGAGACCTAAAGAAGATCGGGATTCCGGTATTAACATTCCTAATGTACATACATTTATCCCATAATGGACTTATAGATTGTGATCGCTCAGTAATACGCTCAAACAAATATATTTACTTTTATACATGCTTGTGTACGTATAGATTTACTTACTTACTTAGATGCAATGGCGACACGAACGAGTTTAAGGCATGTCGCAGCAAACTGACTTTACTTTCTAAATGCCTGTAGCAAAACTTTTGTTCGCATTTTAATATTGGCGAAAGAACGGACAGCATAGGAAGCAAAGAAACATTTTCAACTTTTTGAGTACTCGTATCATCACTAACTTTCTGTGTCGTTCTTTTCTGTTTCTTCTACTTTACAGTTTGTTCGTATGTTGTGCACAAGCGCTGTCATGAATATGTCACATTCATATGTCCGGGCAAGGATAAAGGAATCGATTCCGTAAGTTTTTACTGAAAAAAATATAAAGAAAATGGCAGAATTATTTAGTGTTAATATTAAAATTTAAATTAAATTAAATAAATAAATTTGTATTTATTGTTCAGTTTTTAAATATTTTAAGAGCTTTTTTTAGAATATTTGGGGCCGTATTCTCAAGTAGGTTTTAAAATTTATCTGCCATTTACGCAAACTTTGCTCTGGACAAAGGGAAGATACATTTTAAAAGCTACTTGAGAAAATGGTACTTAGTTAGTAGTTGTTTCTTAACATTAAATATTTGTTATCATAATTTCTGCATAGTCATTAAAAAGCGTTTCTTTACAATCATTTTTTAAGCCATACGGTAACATAATTACTCTTTCGTTTCGGTCACGATTAAGTTTGCTTTTATATAGTGGCTATCACAACTATATGACACACACATATTGACAAGTTTTGGCTGTTTATTTTTTATTATTTAATTCTAATATATTTTTTAATGAAGTTCATTCGCTAACAAAAAATATTTTGTTTTTTACAAAAAATAAATTGCCACAAATCAACGGTTTTTCTAGCTACTTCAAACTTTCACCTTATTAAGCTAGAATTTTATTTTGATGAAACTTTCTTGATTTTTTTATTTATTTTTTTCCTTTTTTTGATTATATCGAGCCCTAACCACCAAAATTACGTAAGCGACATTTTTTCCAAAATTTTATTTTTGATGCAGAAATGCTTCTAGATGCTCTAGGAATATTTCTGCATCAAAAAGAAAATTTTGAGGGCTCGATAGGGTTTTTGATATACAGTGAACTATAGTTTTATATTAAAAAATCATTAAAACTTAATAATAAAAAAATAAGCGGTCAAAACTTGTCACTATTTGGATGTCGTACAGTTATAATAAGCCCTATATACTTATGTAAATATGTACATTCATACATATGTATGAGGGATAGTATCAATATATTTAAGGCATTTTGGACGCTCTCATCTCTGATTCTGATACAACCACATATACAATTGCACTTACACGCGCATAGCACCAGCATTCACACATATTTACCTTCCGATACTAATCTTCCAAATAGAAAATGCATAGTAATGTTTATGAATAAAGAAGCACGGCCATATTAAAACGAATCGACCCTTAAGCAAAAATTTCGGTTAGTTTTTTTTTTAAAGATATCCAGAAGAAGTCAGTTGGAGGGAGGCATTTGAATGAACAAAAAATTTAATTTGAACTATTTTAGAAATTTTTTCTGGAAGCATTTCTGCGTCAAATGTTTTATTTTTTTTTTAATTTGTACATAAATGGTCAATATGAGTACCATGCACCAAAAATACTTTGTAATTTTTATAATTTCTTAATTCAAATCCTCTTCCTCCATTTGACCTAAAATATTCATCCATACAGTTTCGACACTTTAGTAGTTTTCTTTAATTACTAGAAGTTAACACAACCCAACTGAGATGAAAATGCATAAAACACCACACACACACACAACCCAACTGAGGTGACAATGCGGTAAACACCATTTTGTATTCCACGTAACGAAAACAACGGTACCACTCTATAGCTGTAAGGCTATACACAGCGCACAGTGGTAGAAACTGGAATTTACTTTTATTATTTTTTTATTATTATTTTTATTTTTTTTGTATTTCTTTTTTTTTTGCACATAGGAGAAATGCCCAGCACCGCCAAGAAAAAATTATTAAAAATCAACGCGAATTCTTAGCCACTTGAATGTTTCTAAATATCCAAAAAATAATAATTTTTAATTTTAGAGGAATTTATTATAACACTTAAAATTTTTAGTTGTGAAATGTTTTCAGTTTGGGTGTACGCCAATTTTTTTTTATTATGTAACATTTATTAATAGGAACAGAAGAATCGATTTACTTCAAAATTGCTACTTTCTTTGCACTTTGCACTGAAAAATTTTAAAGTAAACAAATAAAAATTCCAAATTTTATTAGCTTTAATTCAAAAATGTATTTATTAAATCGATTGAAAAATAAAGGTTCTGGGCTATTTTGCCAATAGATATGGTTGAAAAACAATTACCGGGCTACGCCGTCTTCAGGCTTCGGGAATTACCCGTCTGGAGAGACACTCAGGATGGCTACACCGCAATTCAAAAAAAAATATATATCGGCTTACCATGACTTATACTGATCACTGAGTGCCCAGTCTACACTTTTCAAACAGGTATAGCATTTCGATACCAGACAGAGAATTTTGGTTAGGAACGGGCTGCTGAAGAAACTGGATCACTCCGCTTCTACACTGGATCGTTCCAAACTAGACTACAAGGTAGGAGGTTGGGTCTTCTCAACCTAGTTGTGGCTGAAATGGGACGAGAAGCGGTCGAAAGGTCTCCTCAAGTAGGAATACGGTTTGAGTAGGAGGGTTCTCACGATCCATATCGTATCACAATGGGATCCACGATGTAGTGTAGTGGTAGTGCTAGTGAGGTCACTGGCAGTCACTTCAACCCAACCTAACCGAAGCTAAGTTAGCTCTACACTGTCCATAGAAAAATAAAAAGTAAGCAAAAAGTATTTCATAATTTTATCATTTGCAGATATTGAAAGCAGAAATGGCATGTGACAGCCAAGTTCCGTATAACAAACACATACATACGTAAACTTACACTCATACAAAAGCAACAAGCACATAATGCAACAACAGAAAATACTAACGCTAACACGAGAACATGCACAGACAATTGTTAAATGAATGCAGCACATGTGAACGCGTCAGCTGTAAGCAAAGCACAAAAGTAGATAAGAAATGCAAAACTTTGTCTTTTGCCTTTTTGTTTTGTTTTTTTTTTTTGTGTAAGAAAGGCACACAAAACCCATATACCTCGGTGTGCATGATGCAAGTATAAAAAAAAATAGAAAATAAAATACTTTTAGTTTATTTTGTTGTAAACGTAGTTAGGTACTTTTTAATTTTTTGAGTGCATTTCTTAATAATCGCGTATAGTGAAAGTTTTATGCGCGCTTACTGCTTACGCACAGACGCAGCGGTGGAGCAGTAAAATGTTGAAAACAAGTAAACATTTTATTTTATGCTTGAATGCAAAAAATTTATAAAATGTAAACAACATAGCTTTCAGTACATCAGAGCACAAATATAAAATTAAAATATTGTGCTTACCATAACTATACGACAGCCACATTTTGACAAGTGTTTAGAATTTATTTTTCATTATTGCATTTATTTTTCATTATATTTTTTCTAAAAATGTAGTTCATTCTAAAACCAAAACCATATAAATCGAGTTACAACGTTGGTAAAAAAATTTATACAGAATTTTAAGAAAGTATTTTCTTTCGTACGAAGTATGTTTGGCAATTTTTTTTCAACTTCCACTTTATGGTACTAGAATTGCATGGGTTATAAAACTGCAAACACAAAAATGTTTTTAAAATTCTGAAGAAAAAAACGAAATTTTTTTGAAGTTTTGTAAGTTTTTTACAATGTACAATGTTTGAAACATAGATTTATATGGTTTTTTTATAGAATGAATTATAGTTTATAAAAAAATATTAAAAATATATAACAAGAAAAAAAGTCAAAGCTTGTTAATATGTGGGTGTCTTATAGTCATGTTGAGCACTATAATTCTTTGTACAACTCTATCTCTCCCACATACAACATNACACACACACACAGCGTACGTTGCGATGTGTTTATGTGACGCTATGGCGCGTACAAACTATTTGCAGTTGTTCCTGTCGCAAACGGCTGGCAAACAATGTCAAAAGTGTGTGAAGTGACAAACGGAAAGCGGAAGTTGAGTCAAGTGGTAGCTGTAATTTCTTACTTTATTCAACTTCGCTTTTCTAGGAAAACTAGGGCGATAGGCATTTTACTTTATTTACTGTATTTTAACCGTCTCCTGACGATTGCAAAGATAATATAACGTAGCATGCCGTGCGATATGTGCCTACCGGCGCCAATTTTGGTTTGACTTTTACTCTAATTCTCGGAATTTTCGACATTTTACTCCATAAGATAACTCTATGTGTGCCTTAGCTTGCAAGCAAACAATGCACGGTGGTTCGAAACCGGCATTGAGTGTTCATAAATCACTGGAGCCTTTATTTTACACTAAATCTGATTAATTATTTTTAAATGAAACCTTTAAAATTTGAAAGAGACCAATTGAGACTGATTTTTGAATTTTTATTTGATTATATTAAATTTGTTTGAGCAAAGTGCAGAAAAAGCACCTATTTTAAAGAAAACCGATTCTCCTTTGCAAGTTAATAAAGGTTTTGCCATAAAAACTAGTTGAAATACAATTGTTTGGGTTCCCCAAAACGAGAAAAATATCACACAAAAAATTAAATGTTTCCCCAAATTTATTTATTTTTTTTTTGGTTTTAGAAAAAACCTAGGTGAAGTGCCTAAGAGCTCGCATTGATTTTAAAAACTCAAAATTTTTTTTTGTGGAGCAAACTATTTTTAAAATATTTAAAATTTTTCTTGTGAATCTTTTTTTCGTTTTAGGGAAACCCTACAATTGTTCTCAACTAGTTATTATTATGTTACATTTAATAAATGGAACAGGAGAAGAAATTCTCTTAAAAATTCCTATTTTTTCTCTTCACAATTCCTACTTTGATTTGAATTGAATGGAATCAAATTGGTTGAAAAATTAAGGCTGTGTACTATTTTGTACATTAAATTCCAGATTTAAACCACTGTGCAATGGTAGCACAGTTACTTGCATACTTTTCTTCTTTTAATTGTGTTGTGTGCCTGAGAGAATGGCAGTGGAACGTTTTCCACCTTCACACGCGCACTGCTTAAATTCTCATATTCAATTTCAACGTTTATTTTCGAATTCCAAAAGTCTTAATTAGCTTAAAATGTCATTGTTCGATAGGATAGACAGTGCAAAATGCGCCTAAGCTTATTGCAGATAGCGCCTAAAAATATGCAAGAAAACACGCTCTTTCTTAACCAGATACAGCACAAGCGCAACCCTACACGAAATGATGCATATTTGCAATTCTCAAACGCCATAAAATTGGTCAAAGCATTTAAAAAAATATCTGACGCCTAGAGCTAGCTAAAATCTTATTTCATTTTAGTATAAGCACTTATGTATAATTTAAGCAGCAAGTGTTAACTTCATATACATATTCACATACTATAGTATAAATTTTTTCTTCTTTTCTGGTATGCTTTCTTTCATTTCAATTCACAACATCAACAACAACTCAACATCATCAAAACATTCAACTGCAACACATCTTACGTGTCTTGTGTCGTTTTATGCGTGCAATATCACCGACCGTCCCCCTCACCAACGATCACATAAAAAAAATAATAAAAATCAATAAAACGCAATGTAAACGTCAACGTCATCAACGCCATCAACATCAAAACGAAAATTGAATATACAAACATCAACGAATTTATTGCTTACTGCAAATTGTGCAACTACGCGGTAAATATTTACACCTACTGTGACAATAAAATAAAAACAACAAATAAATAAATACAAATCTTTTTTTTTAACTATCAAACTGCACTTTTTTATAATCTTTCATATTCGAAAAATGTGTAAAATTCACAACTCGAAAATCGCAAATTTATCTGCAAATAAAATTTATAAAAAAAATATTGTTGTTCACTCATAAAAATGCAATCACTGTCGAAACCATCTCCTTTCAATTACAAACAATGCGCCAACTATCTGCATCATAAAAACAACAAAAAATCGGCAATGTTTTATAATAACGCTGATATGGAATTGATTGCACAAATGTTTGGGTCGTGTAATTGGTTGGAAATATCTTTTTCGGTTATGTAACGAAAACGTTGCACATAAATAAAACTTTGATAAAACTTTAAAATTAAAAAAAATACAAAACTGGATTGAAAATATTACTTTTACATACCTAAAATTCATACTTTGTATAAAAAATTTTTATATAATAAAAAATTTATAAAACATTACAAAAAAAACAAAAAATTTTAAATTCGTTATTCGGGATTTCAACTTAATTTTTGTAAAAAAAAAAAATTTATAAATAAAATAATTGCCAAACAACAAAAACAACAAATAAAATCTATCGAAAAAATTTTATAAACTTTAAATTTGAAAAAAATTCCATGAAAAATTTATATAAAAATTATAAAAATGTGAAATCAACTTTTTTAAAAAATTGCACCAATTCATTCAATTATTTTTTTTTTCAAAATAATCAAATTCGGATGTTTTTTATCTATGCATTAATTTACTTTAAAACTTGTGAGTTGCAATGTATTTACTTTTGAATTAAAAAAAAATTAAAAAACTTTAAAACTTTCAAATAAATTCACCGTAACTGAAAAAAACTATGAAAATCGAAAAAATTAATCAAATTACACTTCTACAACTGTTGTCAATTTAATAACTTAAAAAATATTTGAATACACTTAAAAAATTCTAAAATATCACCTTGAATTAAAAAAAAAATACTAATTTTATTTTTCCAAATTTTGTCTAATTTACAATTTAAAAAATGTTTTAATAATGCAAACAAAAACAATGTTACTCAAATTATTGTCAACTTAAAAACAAAAAACAAATAAAAATATTTTAAAAATACTAAAATACTAAACCTTGAACAAAATAAAAATTGCTCCAAATTAAAAATTATGTATTAAAAAAAAAAAAAATTAACTACTAAAAAAAATCCAAATATTGACAAATTTTAAAAAATGTTAAATAATAAAAAAAACTTTAAATAATATAAAAATACTACTCCTTGAACTAAAACATGGTACTCCAAATTAATAATGTCTTTTACAAAAAAAATACTGCACCATGAAATAAAAATTTTACTAAAAATTAAAAATAATTTTCACTAAAATGGCTAAATTTATTTGCAAAAAAATTACAATTTTTTTAAACATTTTAACCATTCTAAAATGCCATAATATAAAATGATTCTTCTTATTTGGAAATGAAAAATAAAACAATAAAAAATTATTTTTACGACATTGTTAAAACTCAAAACTACAATTCCAAAAAAAAACAATTAAACAAATATAAATAAATTTAATTAAACAACAAACAAATTATTTGGCACTGACAAAAAATATAATTCGGACATACAACTCACAGGATTCACCACAAACAGTACATCATTTCGAACCATTCACATTTGGTGGGCCAACTTTTTGCGACCACTGTGGTTCGCTACTCTACGGCATCTATCATCAGGGTCTCAAATGCTCAGGTAAAAGCAAAGTATGAACGTGTGTATGAAGATTGCTTACTAAGCGCCAAGTGAGAGTTAAGAAAATATGTATGCAAGTGAAGCAACTAAATGTGTGTGAGTTTTTTTTATGCTTCGAAAAACCAAAATTAAATAATTTATATAACGAAAATTAAGAATATTTGGGTACTTTGGGTATATAAAAATATTTTAAATTTTTTTCCTCATCATTATCATGAACTCATATCTGCCTTATGCTCAACCTATTTTTCATCTAGCAACCAGCGAAGGCTACTGTCAATCGCATCCGCGCACCATTGTATGCATCCGCACATTATCCCATTTTGCCGTGAATTCAATTTAAATATTCTCTTTTTGCGTCGCATAAAAAACGGATTGTGCATAAAGTCCTTACAGTACAATATAGTATATGGATATATGTGTGTATGTGTGTATGTATGTATGTGTGCGCTTAAGTGTTCGACCGTGCGTGTTGTTAAGCGGCATTAAGACACTTCTTGCAATTTCTGCTGCTTCAGCTTCCACTTTGCGAAGGTATTCGCGCATTCAATTCTTTGGATTTTCATTTCTCAGTAAAGAATATACCTCAGCCTTTGGTGGCAGTAAGCAGTAGGTACATATGTATATGCAAAAACCACATATTCGCACTTATTTAGTATGCATGGTGGCACACGAATTAATAATGGTAATTAATTAAGCATAAGCGTTAGCATAAGTGTAATTTTAATTAAAATATGGAAAACAACAACGGATAGAAAAGTAAGGAAAATCAGCGAAATGTTAGCATTAAAAATTAATGTAGACTTCGCATATGTGCTCACTCGTGTGCTAATTTGATCACACGAATTTCTTAATAAAATAAAGAAAAGAAAGAATTGTGTGACATGGCGTATGAGTGATATTTTACTAACGTCCATATTTCATTGAGGCCTTTATGAAATCTTTTAGAGAAAATTGTTTATTTTATTATATTTAAAATAATTATCGATACATCTTTTCAAACTAAGTGGCTTAAGTCTAAAATAGTCAGAATTTGCAAATACGCCTTTAGCTCTGGTTCCCGGCCATAGGAACATACACAGAAATGAGAGAGCTGATAAGTTGGCTTACTCCGGAGCATCTCTTTATGACTCCACTCGGTCTCATCAAAAGGGAACTGCATTTTTAGTTTGCACGTATGGCTGATACACGTTAGAACAACCTTCAAACCTGAAAAACTGAGAAAAATATATGGACACAGTATGGCAAATCAAATTCAGAGGAACAAAATGGGTCTTTGGTAAAACCCTCGGTGCCAGTCTAGAGGAAAGTAAGGAAACGGTTCTATACTATCTTTGCGAGTGCCCACCATTGGCACGTATGAGGCATGAAACACTAGGGAGATTCTAATTACTAACTTAAATAGATTCATTGACAAATCTTAGTGGTTTAAGGAAATTCAGATAATATCAGGGATCCCAGAGAAATCGTGCCAAAATGATGCTCTCAGAGTTTTTAAGGCCCTGAGAGGGTTCTCAGGCGACACTTTTACCAAGAATTGAATTGCATTTTTTTAACAGTCGTTGAGGGAGTGTTGCTACTCATCAAGTAGCTCAGTCGTTTGTAGTATATCTCTGCCTTGCCTATGTAGAATGTACTTCCTTCATTTGTTGTTCCTACATCTATTCTCTCAGGTTTCTGAGAGAGATTCGGTTTCTTCGACCGCATAATTCGTTCTATTAATCAATCCGCCCTATTATGGTTGTCGACGTCGATGTCGATGTCGATGTCATTTGTTCATCAAAAAATGGCCTTCATAAGTCCAACTCCAGCCACGCTGACGACAGTATTTTTTAAGGAAAGATGTTCCTCGCAAATATACAGTGATCAGCGTAGCTGGAGTTGGACTTACGAGGGCTATTTTTTATGCAAAAGTTACAACGACAATCGACATCGACAACTATAATAGGGCCGAATAACACATTTTCCAATGTTCTGTGCTCTTTAGATTTTCTGTACCTATTTTTTCGTCCATATTTGCATTGTATTTATCTCGCTAATTTTTCCAAGCGTACATGGCAATGAAAAATTGTGTGTTCTGCGAACTCAATTTCAGAACACTGTTTACATAAGCGGTCTGACTTTATTTTAAAACGGTGAAGATATTGAGCGAAGCCTCCATGTCCACTGAAAGCTTGCATGAAGTAAAAATTCATTGAACCATGTGGTCTAAGTATTAACCCATTCCGGCAGGGGAGGTATCAGTCTTTGTGTCCATCAGCGTTTACAATTTTTTTTTCACTTTTCTTATTGCCTTTTAAGGCAGCGGAAAATATCCAAACTCTCCTCTATCAGTCAATCAATAGAAAGAAGATTTGGTAGAACTCGAATCGTTATTTATTTTTGGGCCAGATTTCTGCTCAGTCGACTGAGCACTGCTCGGTTTTCGGCTACCTCTATCGAACTGCTTCCAACCGATGCAGCATACAAGATTTTTGTTAGCATCGCATTGCCTACTAGACGTCGGATTCCATCTGAAGGACCTCGAAGTCTCGATTGTCGGCTTGCTAATTTGAAGCATTTTCGGCTTCAAGTGGAGCGATGCGAGGTTCTTACACTGTAGAATTTTGTAAGACCTTTCAGCAGACTTCAGGCGTCTGCACTATGCAAGTCTCGCCTACTGGACTACGGAATCATTTCCAGAACAAGATACCTTCAAGAGGCGAATTGGAGTAGGATTCAGTCCTGATCTCGTGCACCGATTTAGATAACTTCTGGTTAGTTTAGAAGGTAAAAAGTGGGGCATACTCTTAAGAACTCTTACTTAGCCTCGATTCTCGTTTGCCACATCTCTGCAGCATTTTTCTAGCTGAGCTAAGAGCAATCAGCGCGGCTGCAAGATGGCTGACTATTTCTCCTATTAGTTTACATGCAGTAACTATCCTTTCTGATAGGCAGGCAGTTATTAAAACACTTCTTTGTAACAAATCTACATCGAAGGTGGTCATGAAACGTAAACGTACTCTAAATGAACTGACACGGAGTTACGTCACTCTTGGTACCAGGCCAAAAGACATACCGGGCAACTGTGTGGCACATGAACTAGCAAGGAAAGGTGCCTTGCTGTCGGCAATCGGTACCGCTCGTACCGGAAAAATAACTTTATCCAACGGCAATTAAAACATGGTCTGCGGAACCCACATGCAGGATAGCAACGCATATCTAGTCTTAGTTGGATAACCGCAGATATCGCCCTCTGCTCTGCTTGGAGCGACCACTGCTCCGACGTGTAATGGGAACTCTCACCGGGCACTGCCTGATGGGGACTCACGCTGTCATAATGGGTATTCAGTCAAACGATTACTGTTGCGACTGCCACGGTGTGAAGGAATCGAATGCCTATTCCAATGTTCTGTTTTGACGAGAGTTCATCGACGCTCATTCTTCCAATATTCTTATGCATGTCTACCTGAACTGTACTCAGCCAGTATCTACACTTTTGTGCGCTCCAAATCGGTTATATTTCTAACCAAACAAGGCAACCAAGGTAGCCTAACCTAACCTAAAGTAGTCGTGTAAAACATTTGACTCAAACCTATATTAAAGAATAAGCAATTTTACTACTTTCACTTTAATAGGTTTATTTTATTACCAAGCGAAATCCTGTGGCAAAACATTTGTATAAACAAGGTCAACAATGCTTGGAAAGATGAGGCAATAAAAACGGCTAACAACTAACAGCATATAAAATCATTTCCTTCACAATTGTAAATTGTCCGCAGTAACTAGGCAAGCGTACGAACGACAAGAGTGAATTTATTTGCACACATGACATCGTACATACATATGTAGATGCACGTGTAAGGATATGCAGAGACTAACACGAATATGAATAGTACATACCATAAATGCTAAAACAATAGCGCTGGTACTACGATTTTATGCGCACACACACACGCACGGATATTTTTCAACTCAACTATTTGCCAATGCTCGGTGTAGGCCTTCCAAACGGCGTCGAGACTCTATGGCATTCGGTGAGCAAACAACTAACATTTTACGTATGTAAATATACAACTTGGTATGTAAAGGGAAGTAACAATAAATGTAAAAACAACAATGGACCATGCAAGCAGTTAGCCGCCCAATACCGCCACAGGGTGTCCACAGTTAATTAAAGGCAAATTTATGCGTAGACAAGCGCTATAAAAGCCAACGAAAAAAAAAGCAAAAACAAACAAGAACTAGTCGTCTACAAGGAATTCGCTTGCTCACACATGCATTTGCAAGCGTAACAACAAACATGCGCGGTAGAGTAGAGTTTTACTTACTTAACTAAGCGCTTAAATATGTTTTGCGGCAAATTTAATTTTTGCTGAATTTTTTACTTATTTAAACGGAATTTATAATTTATAATTACAGCAGCTCACACGAATTTCGCTGTGCAAATTTTAAGAATCTAAACTCACATAAGTGTTTATGTACACACTCTTACATATGCATACGCCTACAGAAGCCAGCGTGAAAGCTGGAAAATTAAAGTTGCTATTCTCTACCTTTTTAAGCTACATTCATATATTTAAATTAAAATTATTTGGAATGAAGTAAGAGATTGGAAATTAGAAACATTTCTAAATTAACCATAAAAACATACCCGGAAAGTCCGTAAAAAATTGACAAAAACCGCCAAAAAATATCTTAAAAAGTCTGAAAAAGTCTCAAAAACTATTCATAAATTTATCAATACCGAAATATTACAATTTAGAGAATTGTTAATAAAATTTAGTGGAGTGCAAATCGATGTAATTAAGTTTTAAAGGTTTAGGAGTACTCCCAATGATATCGGGCCATAGTTCTTGCTCTTAGCTGCGACACCATGGTGTACGATAATTGACATCTGGGCTTTGTAAGAGTACAATTTGCGTCGTTATCAAAAAAAAAACTTTATGGAACACCAAATTCTTTAGCTTCGAATTCACTGCAAAGCCTATATTTTATTAAGAACTGAAACTAGTTTTCTA